AGCAATCATAGAATGTGTACATGTAAAATGATGACTTTAAACCAAACTGTTCTTTAATATAATTTTTTTAGCCTATAGCCTATATAGGTTTTATAAATGATTGTGCTCAATATCCGTTACTGCATACTGACACAGGAAAGAGACATAGACACCATAAAGGCTGGCGATAACAGAATATAGCTACATAAGTAAGGAAAATTGATGATGGAAAAGCTGAAGTATTTTTTCTTCTTAAACTGAGTTTAACTGTTTGTTTGCTATTTACTTCAATATTCAGTAAAAGATCAATTAATCAAGGAGTATTGAATGTGTATATTTATGTGAATGTGTATATTTGTTTTTATCAAAGCCTACAGAAGAAATGTCAATTATATTTTTAGAATAAAGAACTGATATTAATATATAGAATTACAGCGATAATCATTTCTTCTTGAAAAAATGGATTTTGAAGGAAAGGGCGTAAAAGACACAATCTCACAAGCAAATTGCCACACACGATGTAAATATGATTACTATTTTTCTCGTACTTGCAGAAAACTCAACTTTTAAAATTAAAGAGTTATCTATTGAAGGACAGAGCGATGCACTTTAAAAGTACGGTAGCCATACAAATTATGAATTTTAAAAGCACGTGTTAAGCTGTCAATTTGATAAGATGCGTGGGTTTTCTTTTTGTAAAATGGAATTTCCAGAGAAAGTTTTGATAATGTCTTCACTCAAACATCCTGGTTTAAAACACTCCTTAAAGCTATTTAACAAAAAAGGAAAGCAGATTTTAAATTATATTTTTTATAGGAGAAGAAACTTATTACATAATTGTAAGATGGGGATTAATGATAATGTTTAAACAAAATGCATGTAGTTTTTAATTGACTTCGAACTTAGTTGATTTCATACACCAATTTTAAATTTTGACATTAAGAAGTCTTTTAAGCAATGTGAAATTTTCAATGGCATGCTGCAGACTATACTCCTTCGGCTTCTGTCTTTTTGATTATGGTTCTTACCTGTATGAACCTGTCAAAATGTTTCATTGTGTGTCCTCTTTCATAAAAAGCAAAGAAATACAGCACAATAACCGTTATCGTTTTCTATTTGTTTTAATTTTTTATTGAATATGATTTATTAAGAGTACAATTTAGTATTTTTGTCGAGAACAAAATAGTTTGGATCTTTACTTAGCTTTCTTTCTTAATTGTAAGTAGACTATGTACATGTATATAGACTATGTGTATTCTACACATAGACTCAAGTAGAGTGCTGTACTATTCCAAACATTTTTGACATACTACATAAGAAACTAAGATATGAAAAAGGTTTAATAAATAATGCAAAATTATGTAAAATTATTTCGTGGGAGCAAGTTTTCGTCGTTTGTGGAAAATATACTGAGTCAAGGAAAATTATTTTCGTGTTTGATATCATTGACAGCTGCTTTTTCAATAAAAATGGAACTCGTAAATATACTTACCTTGTCATTGGTCATTTGCAAAATTATTTTGTTAAAAAATATTCTGATTGTTCACACAAGTACTCTGAAGTTGACATTAAAAAGATGCTTGAGTTTCTGATTGACAATATCTATGTAGTTTTTGGAGACCAGGTCTTCCAACAATGTGGTTTTTGGAGACCAGGTCTTCCAACAATCCATTGGAATTCCCATGGGTACCAATTGCGCCCCGCTATTAGCAGACCTTTTTTTGTATTCATATGAAGCAGAATTTGTCCAAAATCTTGTACGTGACAAGAAGAAAACACTTGCTGTGGCCTTCAACTCGACATTTAGATATATCGATGACGTATTGTCAATTAACAATGGCTATTTTCATTCTTATGTCGATACGATATATCCTTGTGAACTTGAGATAAAAGATACCACAGAGTCTGACACATCTGTTTCATATTTGGATATTTTACTTGAAAAAGACGTTAATGGTAATCTAACAACCAAGCTTTATGATAAACGTGATGACTTTAACTTTTCAATCGTCAACTTCCCTTACTTATGCAGCAATATACCTTCATCACCTGCATACGGGGTATATATCTCTCAGTTGATTCGATATGCAAGAGCATGCTCTACGCATGTACAATTTCTAAAACGAGGTAAATTATTGACAAATAAGTTGATGAAACAAGAATATCAGCTGTCTCGTTTAAAGTCATCATTTCGTAAGTTCTATGGTCGATACAATGACCTTGTCAGCAAATACAATTTATCATTGAGTCAAATGCTGATTGACGTTTTTCACACTAATTGTTAGGCCATTATTTACACACTGAATTGTCGACGGATTTTTCCGTTGTTTCCCGATCATGACAAGGAGCACACGGCGGGTGTGACCGGTCGGCAGGGGATGCTCACTCCTCCATGGCACCTGATCCCACCTCTGATGTTTGGAGGTCCGTGTTTGCTCTGCTCCTATTTTGTATTGATTAATGGACTTTTGAGCTTGAATGCTGTTCGTTATCTCCATATATTTCATAGACATGATGTACAAGATACTATGTTTTGTGATTTTAATGTTTCATAGAAGACATGACTCAATGGGTCTCTTAATATCATGAAAACAGGGAAAAGTAATAGAAAAGTAAACGAAAATTTGTGATTTCTCAGTGAGCAACGTTGTTTTATATGTATGCCAAAAGAAAATTCTTGACACAGAATGGTTATTAAATTTTCTGTTAACCTGATGATAACAAGGAACATAGAGGTTGTGGGAACGGGTCTGACCGGCCGATAAGTGATGCTTACTTTTCCTTGGTACCTAATCACGCCTCTGTTTTCAGAAGTCCAGTCTTGCTGTGTTCACAGTTCGTATTGAAAAATGTGTCTTTGATCAGTGTTCTTTACCTTCGAATTTCATTCATTCATCTCTAAGTATGAGACGAAAGAGTTCTTCGTAAATCATAGGTATCGTTCAATGTTAAATTTTAGTCTGTACAAAACTATTCAAAACCTGCAAATGTCTTATAGATTTGATCATTACTGGTAACTCGCTATGATTTGTGAACATTTACAATGGAGCTGTTCCAGAAGAGGTTAGTCTAACTGTATGATGTTGGGTCCAAGGACAACACAGTGGTAATGAAAGAAGTTACAATGTAGAGTGCATATAGAGAAGCATTTGCTGAAACATAGACTTGCTCAAGTCTCTAATTTTTTTTTATTTATAGTTTTTTTTTTTCAATTCTTTGTTTAATTTTGTATTGTGTTTCCTCTGTTCTCTATCGTAGATAAATGCTACCAAACATAGATGTTTGAAATTATCAAAAAGTATTAAAGAGAGCACTAAATCACAGAAACTGGAGCAAGTCTAGCTGAAATCCTCGATGATCAGTAACATCCTGTGATAAAGGTCGGACGTTTAAACTATTCATTATTTTATTTGAAAACGATTAAAATGATATGTTTTTTCAACAATTATTTTAAAAAAGATATTTCAAAAAATATTGTTTATACAGATATATTTTTTATCTTTATATTCGTATGAAAAATCTTTTCTTCAGGATCATTAAATGCGATCTATGAAAACACTGATTTTATTCAATACGATAGGAAATTTAAAATTAATACATCTCAAAGGAAATTTTAAGGGCATAAATAAAGGTGCTTTTATGTTCCAAACACATTGTGACATAACTAGAGTATGTTTTCTTTTAAAACCTGCACTAATTTTACATGCATTAATACCAAAAAAATACGTGTTTTTTTGTAGCTTTAGGAATAAATTATGAAAACAGTCAGGACGTGTATTAATGAAGCACAGTCAGGGGCTATGGGTCATGTGCATATAAATGTTTGTGTCAGAAGAAAGGAATACTGAGCATTATATCTGCCTTTTCCATTACATAAGAAGACTGTACTTGTCATATTAGATTACTGCTAAAAACTGTTACTTAATCTGGGCTTTCATATTTTTTAGACATCGAAAATTGTGCTTTTGAATTACGAGTAAGAAAAAAGTGCTATATTATTATTATAAAAAAAATGTACCATTTGATATAATATGTTATAAATTCAGTGATTCATTCATCAGTGAATTGAAATACCAAGAACTTGAAAAGCTAGATTACTTGAATACTCTGAGGACAATTACTTACAAATCGTAGACAGCATGCGCAGTGATCTGTTTGGATCGTTTTACTGTCCATTCATTGTTATTGCCACGTGATTCATTTTCACATAAACTTTGATATTATTTCATATAATTAGATGTTTTAATACTTTTCACTAAATCGAGAAATCAAGAATGCTAAATGTATAAGATTTATATTGTATATAAACATATAGATATATATTCACAATTAAAACTTTGTCGATGAATACTTTTGTACTGAATAGTTTGTACATATTAAAGATCAAAAGTTGAGGTCGATAATTCAATTGATTGAGGCCAAAGTCTCTTTTTTTTTAAATTAGTTATGGAAAACAATTTTTTTTTCGCTTATAAGTTTTTTTTCAACATTTTAAAGAACTAGATGGAAAACATCAATGCCATTAACTTTGTACTCTGTAGTATCATGCCCTATATTCCACTTGTAGGTGATGCCATGTACAGTGTACATCTAAACCATTATTAATCATTATGAATGTCAAAATGCAGAGTTATTGTTTCTGAAAAGTGTACTGTTAGAACACGTCAGTGCACTTTAACTTTCCATAAGACTTATTAATGTTTTCAGATTAATGTTAACGCTTTTATTAATGATTTCATTGAAAATAGAAATTTTTAAATAGATAGCGTTATTGTCGAGCATTCTGCTATCATGTTATGGCCGTTTATTGACTTAGTTGATCATTATTTGAGAATATTTAAGCTTTCATTTTCTTACACACATATTAATCCTTCAAACTTCGCTCGTTGGTGCAAAGTTAGTGCACCAAGATCTGAAGATGTTTTTTTTTTTTATTTTTCATCCCTAACAAAGGGAATAACATTTTTAAAAAAAAAAAAGAAAAAAAAAAAAAAGAAGAATAACAGAAATGTACGTGTTCCGTAATTGCTTTTATTTTTCAGCTGTTAATGTGGAATATGATTAATGTTTTGACATTGTTCATAACTTTTTTAAAGTCTGTCATATTGCCTGGATCTGAATATTTTTGTTTATCCTGACTCTGTTTCAGTAAAAGTTCATCTAGGAACGTTTGTATGTTCATTGTCTACAATGACACTCGAGTTTGTTCTATTTGTCAATTGATTGTTTTCTAGAACACCGAAACACATCAGTGGTATTTCAACATTACTTGTTTCCCCTTTCTCATAGATTCTTATTCTCGAAATCGAAACAACAAGGTCTACAAAGTAATGTTGTCTTCCCAGCTGTGAGGGGGAAGGCTGTGGAATAACTCCCATTGGAACAGAAAATCCAAACACTAGTTTTTATTCTTTCAAGAGAATTTGGTAATCCGGGAACTCTGTCTAAAACTGGGTAATCTTTTCATTTTTAGGCTTATTTTTCTTACTAGGGTAGGTATTCTCTTTTCTTGTTGTTTTTGATACGTAGCAATTTCTTCTCTTGATATCTGATCAATATTTTCTTTGATCTTGTAATCTGAAAAAAAAATAGAAAATGTACTCTAAACATTCAGAATGTCTGTAAAAAACCTAATTATTTAATGCGTGATTTGTGTTAGTATGACAATAAAAATTCCTACCACATTGTAGAAGGATCCTGATGATTCTGGTGCAGTCCCGTCGTTCGCCACTAGTGATGTGAAATAAGGCTGACTGGCCCAGGTCATCAACACTATTAACGTCACTACCGTGTTTGATTAAATATTCTGCAATTTCAAATTTCCCCTCCTCCAAAGCAAGTAGTAATGCAGTTTTCCCCAAATTGTCAGTAGTGTTCACATTAGCTCCTGTTAATGAAAGAAACAAATATTGCATATCATAGAATTCGGAGTCTTACTGTGACATTTTTCTATCTCTATGGAGATTTCTATAGATTTTTTTTACCTGCTTTGATAAGATGCCTTATCATTCTAATGTCATCCATCTCTACAGCTAGCATCAAAGGTGTTCTGTATTCCTGACTTGATTTGTTTAAGTCACAATTACCTGTAATATAGATATACAAATGAATTTATATGATTAGAATAATGAAATGAACTTGCAAAGGGAGAAAATCATTTTTAAATTTTCTTTTCTTTTACATACCACACGTCAACAGGACATCTAACATTTCAACGTTTCCATTAACTATGGGAATAAACAGCAGAGGATCACCATTGTTGTCACAAATATTTGTACTGATTCCAAAACGCAACAACTTCATTATATTCTTTATATCCCCGTCATCAACAACTTTCAGCAGTAGTTGCTCAAAAGAGTGGGCATTATTTTCCATTTTGACTGAGAACGTATAGCTGTTAATTGTTTTAAGCTATTCAGCGATGATGTATTGTTCTTTTTTCTGAGTCCCATTTATACCTCTAACACTAATTTGCATATTTTGTCCTACAGTACTGTGCTTGTTCTTGATTGGATAAAAAAAATCTGTTGAAAGGAGACTTAGTCTGCTGTGGTTAGCATGTGATCATTAGAATTAATTATCTTTATGTTTTGTAATTATTAAATAACTCATAATCTTTGATAGGTATAATCATTTGAAATGCATATTTGTCTCGACAATGAAGGTCACAAAACAGGTTCACTTTGATGGTGTTTAATTAATGTCATTCACCTCACGTTTGGTTAATAGAAAAAAGAAGAAGAATACGTAGATTGTCATTGTCTTTTATTTCAGAATTCACGTTCACAAAACTATATATATAATATTTAGAAAAATATCCTGAAGTTAGAATTTTAACAAAAAAAAAAAAAAAAAAATGAGACAAAAACAACACATAAGAGACTTTTAGAACATTTTCCATAAAGCAGACCTTCTCCATTGATATATATTTTGGTATCTAAAACATCAACGATTTCATTTTCTATTTGTTCTCAAATCGAGTGTGACCAGTTGACAGGGGATGCTGATTCCTTCCACACACCTAATTCCATCTCTGAATTTTACAAGGGTTCTTGTTTTATGCCCTCGTCTCAGATTTGCATTGTTTGTAGATTTTTTGAGATAGTTCACTTATCGCAATATTTTATTTCATTGACTTAGCATTGATTTATTTTCTTTCAGTTTTTTTTTTAATAATTCGTATCATCTAGTAAAAGAAATATTAAAAATGGCAAAAGAAATTTGTTTCTCTATATTGTATAAAACATGTCAAAATTCCTTCTTTACTATTTACTATCAATTCATAATTTTCAATCTATGATATTTAGTTTTTGTTACTTTATTGTTCGTAGATTCTTTTTTATTTGTGTTTTTTTTTAAATCTCATTGATCATGATAATTTAAAGGAGATCATTAGTGGATTTACATATCCATTTTCATTTAATAAAATGTAAGCCAAGCCGAGAAATTCAAATATCTTACAAACATAACTCAGATCATTTGTCGTTGGTTTCCTTCATTCTTAAGATGATTACCACACAACTATTTTGGTTTTGTTGTGAATGGAATACAAATTGTCATATAAACAATGAACTTTTATGGTTCATCTAATCTATATATAAATATCAATGAAATGTCATTCCTAGCATTTCTGGTCAGTGTAAAAATCTGATTAGCTAGTTTGATGTTGCATAAAAATAAAGAAGGAGGGAGTTATATGCGCCGTAATAATGCTAAACAAATTCTCACCTAAAAGAAAAATTACATTTAATTCATAAAATAATCCATTTCAGAGTATAAATCCCTAGCTTCCAAGATACGCACAGTTTGTTTTGTATTACTAAGCAAGTTTGCAGAAAAGAATAAATAAGTAATTTAAATACGATACCCACTCCCACCTTTTGAACTATGATCTAATTTACTATGATAAGCAATGCAATTTTCATATAAAACAGTCATATAATTTATATCAAGAAATGTTTTTATAAACTTTAAATAAGGAAAGAGGGTATTTAATCATTTAGTAGCTTCTATGTACATCATCGAATGTGTATAAACTGCAATGTAGATGCATTTGAAATATCAATAAACTATATTTATTTGTTTGCTGTATTAAGATAGGCTGTTGAATCTAAAAATATGCGGGCCCGGGGACATAGCTATTCAAAGCTCACAATACGCAGTACAGTTAGAAGTAAAAATTCGTATTCCATTTTCTTATCAAAATATTTTGGAAAATTTGGACCGGGAAAAGGGGGGGGGTACGACACATGCGATTTTAAATAAAGATGAATTACGACTGTCTCCTCCCGTAGAGCACACGTCCCAGTAAGCATCAATATGTTTGCCCAACGTTAGGCCAACAAAGCTCATTTTGTTTGCCCAACGATGAATGCCAATGTTGGATCAACACTTCTGTGCAAAGCCGGCCTTTGTCGGACCAATATATTGGCATTGCATCGACTCAACATTGTTTTGTGATTTCATCGACGTTGGTCCAATATCGGACTTACTTAGGACTTAAGGTAGTTATGTTGGCATTGCATTGACCCAATATGCATAGACCCAACATTGTACATACATTGGATTTAAGGTAGTTATTTTGTTGGCCCACTAGTGAAATCCTGTTGGGTCAAAGATACTACATGTATAAATACCTCAAAGATACATTGTACCAACGTAATTTCAAATGGTTTAAATAATGTTCAAAATCTTTAACTGCAAATTCATTAAACGTATCCTTTTCAATTGATAAATATTCTGTAAGAAAATACAAACTACAAATTCCTAGTATCAAAAAAGTTCACTTTTAGGATTTTTCATAGGTTTCACTGTAAATATCCTAAATCATACACGGGTATAATACTTGGTATAATTGTTAGTTCTTGCATCCTAATCTTTCTCTGTCCCTGCTATGGCTCCTGTAGATTTTTCCCCTCTTCTCATTCCTTCGATCCTTAAGTCTTTGATGTCTATTTACGTGCACTTTGAAGTTTCCGCTCCATTTCTCCTTTTCAGCGAAGCCACCGCATTAGCTCTATCATGGGTCTGTTTTTTATTGACTCTCCACATTTCTAGCAAAAGCGGAACGAAGTACAGTGTATTACATTTGAATATACAAAACTATCGAAATCATTTCAATAAAATAATAATCAGACAATAAATAAAGTTAATTTCTAGAATGTTTACGTAATATCAATAGGGCAATAATTAATAACTTGTTGCGAATCAACGAGTCACACACAGATATAAGAGCGCCAAATGCGCTTTGACTCAAGGTAACAGCTAAAATACATGTGACGAGATATCAAACACTAAATACTGCATTGACATCCTAGTCTGATTGAATGGTAAGGTATTGATGTCATACTGAGGTGTGCACATTCCGTTCGTTTATGCAAAAATAGTGTGTGAGACCAGAAATATAAATATTTCAATCAGATTAGATACTGTAAATTCAATAACCAAACGTACAAAGCAAATCGAATTTAACTTAAGAAATAAACAAAAATGTTAAACATTTCAATGCGAAATGAATTTGGTTGGTCACGTGATCAAATCCTGTGAAGCCTAAAGGGCTAAGTACCTGTTGAGGTATTGTTATATTGCAGAAAAGGATTGCTACTAAGTATCCAAGATTAATACTACTAGTGTCCTATCAAATATCAATATCTTAGAGAACTCATTCCAAATGAAGACTGCTAAATATTTTTCTGAAGTGTAGTACTTTGTCTTGAATGTCTGCGTGTAGAAAAACAATAGTGTGACAAAAAATAATACAGCAGTACCTTGTCCTAACATGTCCTAAATCAAATATTCTAATAAGTAATTCGTCCTTATTGAATCTGATTAAAAATAAGGCCCTGATACTCTCTTAAAACTGCCATTCACAAGGAAATGATTTGATTTAATGATGAACACTTAATATCTCTAGATAAGAGCATTTCATAATGAATCAATATGCTGCGCAGTAATTCTCATCCATTGACATGTATTAATTTTTTATGACAAAATTATTTAACATGGCATCTGATCCCACCTCTGATTGTTTGCTCTGCTCCAAAATTTGTATTGTTTAATGGACTTTTGAGCTTGAATACTGTTCGTTATCTCCATACACATGGTATAACATTAATGTTTAACTTTGAGATAAGTGTGAAAGTAATACAGTTTCTTTGATAAGAAATCAATGTAACTCATTAATGATATTCTCTTCTCAATATTTTAAGCTAAACTTGGTCATAAGGGAAAAAAAGGGAAAAAAATTGAAATTAACAGAAAATACTTTTTTCTACAGTTGGATATGTAATTTATTTTACTTGTGATACAGGATTTTTTTTATTGATTATTCTTCTGCTTTGTACCCGGGAAATTATTTTTTAAAAATACTTTTCCATCCGAAAAAAAAAAATCCATATCAAAAAATAAAACAAAAATGAATATCCTCTATTTATTTTGTGAATTTAAAAATGTAGCGTTTCAATTTGTATGCAGAACTGTTAGGGACTACAAGGTAGAAAAAGAATATAGATATGCACAAATAGATAAATCTTTAAATTCAATTTATATTTGTTAAGATATTAACATTATCGTACTAGTTTTACACGAATTGAAATAAATATACCTCACTTTGAAATAAATTCCGTTGGTTTTATTTGTGTTTTTATATTCCTTTTTGCATGCAATTTACTTATCTGGCCAAATGCGTGAGCTATAACACACCTAATGATTGCAAAATGATGTGGAAATATACGTAGAATCTTAACTTGCAGAATAATATTGTCATAAAATTGAAAAAAAAAACATAGTCCGAGTTTCCTCTGTATCACTTTAAATAAACCTATGATGTTGTATATTTTCTTAAAATAGTAAGAAATTAAACATTGTTAACATTGCTGTTTTAATGATGTTTATTTATTATCTTGTTATCTAAGAATACATGTAAGGCACAGTTTCAATACAAATCTTGCGCTGTGTTTTTCTTAAAAATTAAAGTGATGTAAAAATTAGAACTCATGGTTTCTGAATCATTGAAATTCCATGCAGAGAGATCATATAAATCATTTTTCTCACATGACCTAAATGCTAATTGTGACGTCATAAAGGTGTGCATTTTCCCGTATTTTCTTAAAAAGTTGCAGAAGACACCAATTCTCAATGGAATTTTCTTTCAGATAATATTGTCCACAGGTATCGCCCACAAAAATTTTACGATATATGATTTTTCAAAGAATTTTACACACCATATCCGAAAATTAAAGTGGGCGACGGCTGTGGACGCTATTTTCTTAAAGAAAATAACCCTTGAAATGGTTCATTTTGATGCCTTTTCTGTTTAAAATAGAGAAATGCATCAAATTAATGACATCATATTTCCAGAATGGTACTCCTTCATGCCATACATTTTCCTCATTTATCACAGTCATATACCCAACT